AGTGGGGCGTGGGGAGCGGCGGGGCGGGCCTTGTGCTTCCAGCGCCGACTCGGGGTGTCTCTGACTCTGCCGTGGAACGAGCGGTCTCAGGCGTGCCGTGCGTGTGGGTGTGCACGTCTCCCCTTCACGTGCGCGTGTGAACTAAGAGCTGTGTGCATGTGTTCACTCGCGTGTGTTCTGTGTGGCCTCACTTCGGTGTGAGTGTGCACATTAGGTGCACGTGTACACGCACAGGGGCAGCGTGTGTGTGCAGGGTGTGTTGTAGGCAGTTGTGTGTGTGTATGTACAGTCCAGAGGTCTGCATGTGTGCATAGTGTCCACGTGTGCATGGGTGTGTGTGTGTGGATATGTGTGCATGGCTTTGAGTGTGCACACATGGTGGGGCATACGTGTGTGTACAGAGTTGGGACATGCATGCGTGGTTGTATATACACGTGCAGGTGTGCAGGTGTGTGAGTGTGTGCATGTGTCTTGTGTGGCTCTGAGGGTGTGGGTGCCTATGGGCCCGTGTGTGTGTCATGGTGTGTACTGCATGGGCATGGTTTGCATGTGTGCACAGGGTGTGCGTGTGCACGGTGTAAACCTGGGGTATGTGTGTGTGGGAGGTGTGTGTGCATGAGGACGTGCACGGCCACATGAGTAAGTGGTATGCGTGTGTGTGCACGTGCGTGTAGGTGTGTGCACATGCATGTAGGCTGCGGGGTATGTAGGAGTCAAGGTGGGGGTGAATACGATCCGTGGGTGTGTGTGTTGTGTGGGCAGGGTGGGTGTGGGCACACAGCTGCCCGCATTAGGCAGCCTATCACCGCCACAGTGGGGACTCGTGACCTGCTTTCCCCCACACCCTCTCTTGGAGTGGGGGGCCCCAAGGGCTCTGCATGGGGGGGGCGGCAACGTGGACACGGGCTGTCCTGTGTGAGGGGGCACCTCAGGCTGAGTTGTGGGAACCTTCCGGAAGGTTGGCATCCTGTCCCCTACAGGCTCCTTCCTGTCCTCGCCAGGGCACCAGGCCACCCTGCGGGAGAGGCTGCACAATTCCATCGCTCTGTGCCAGGCCCAGAGCAGGAAACTGCAGGGCGACCCGGGGGCACCCACCAGTTTCCGGGGGCCGGGCCCTGCGCTGGGGTCTGAGGCCAGGCAGCAGGTGTGCCCAGAGACCCCACGGAGACCCCGCCTCAGTGAGGCCGTGGACACCAGTGCCAGGAGCCGCCCACCCGCACACCCCACTTCTGCTGGGCTCGGGCAGGGCCACCGCCCTGGGAGGACAGGCCCCCCACATCAGGCTGTGTCTCGTCAGCTGGGGTGGCCCTCAGTGTTGGTCAGGACGTCTCGTCAGCCAGGCGACCCTCAGCGTTGGTCAGGACGTCTCGTCACCCGGGGTGGGCCTCAGTGTTGATCAGGATGTCTCGTCAGCCGGGCGACCCTCAGTGTTGGTCAGGACGTCTCGTCACCCGGGGTGGCCCTCAGTGTTGGTCAGGACAGGCTGTGTCTCGTCAGCTGGGGTGGCCCTCAGTGTTGGTCAGGACGTCTCGTCAGCCAGGCGACCCTCAGCGTTGGTCAGGACGTCTCGTCACCCGGGGTGGGCCTCAGTGTTGATCAGGATGTCTCGTCAGCCGGGCGACCCTCAGTGTTGGTCAGGACGTCTCGTCACCCGGGGCGGCCCTCAGTGTTGGTCAGGACATCTCGTCACCCGGGGTGGCCCTCAGCATTGGTCAGGATGTCTCGTCACCCGGGGTGGGCCTCAGCGTCGGGACGTGTTTGTGCTCCCCACCCTGCCAGGCTTCCAGCACTTTCTAGAAGGCCGTGAAGAGGAGCTCGTGGGGCACGGGCCACCTTGCTGTCACACATGACCTTGCAGGTGGCTTCAGTCATCACGCGGACCATGCGAGCGTCGGGAAGCCAGGCCTCGGCTCCCTGGGCCCCACTCCAGAGCCTCTGAGCTTCGTCCGGTCACTCGGGGTGCACATGTGCCGACTGGCCGTGTGCCTCGGGCCCTGTCCTGGGGAACGTGCGCTCCCGGTGGCCGGCCCAGGCCACCCCCAGCGTCGCGGAGTGGGACGTGGCCCCCGTGCCGGGCACACCGCTGCTGGAGCCAGACAGGGCGGGGCGGGCCCCTCCCCCCCCCACATGGCGACAGTCCCCGGAGATGGTTCCCGAGCAGACGGCGCTGTGAGCGCCTGGGAGGTTTCCCTCAGTGGAGCCATTTGCTGCCCGTGGAGGACGGGCCAGACGGCGCTGCGGATGGGTCGCGGTCACGCCGTCCCACCTCGCTAGAGAAAGCGCTGCCGTTTCAGACGCTCACAGAGCCTTCGCCTCCATTCTCAACAGCCCTGTGTAGCCCATTCGTTGGGGACCCCACGAAGGTGGCCTGGTGGCAGTCAAGAAGCAGAGCACTCTGCCAGAGCCCCCCCCGCCCCCACGGCAGGTTGGCCCGGAGTGGACCGCAGGAGCCTGTGCCCTGCGAGGGACGGGCAGGCAGCATGCCCAGACCCTGCTGCCGGCCACCCCCCCACGGGGCACCAGGACGGCCCTTTCAGATCCCCTTCCCTATGGCCAGAGGCCTCCTAGTCCCCAAGAAGCCGCCCACCTCAGAGACAGGCACCCCTCTTGCCAACACACCGGACCGCGTGAGCAATGGGCCAGGCCCCTGGGCTTGGCCGCGCCTTTGCTCCCACGGCCTCCGGCCCCTGTTCGTTGCCGACCAGCGTGTCCTTCCTGTGTCTGTCGGAGGTGACAGCCGTCTGCTGTGTCATTGCGGCCAGGCCTCCCGCTTACAAGGGAGACGAGCTGCGTCCACCGCCAGGCGGCCCGCCGACTCCTCAGGGTGACTCCTGGAAGGCAGACGGCGCCCAGTCGGCCCCAGGACCCCTGCCCTCAGGGCCCCGACAGGCTGTGCGCACCCACGACGCCTATTAAGTCACCCTGATTCACGGTGTTTATTAATTCACTTTTAAACAACAGTGACAGGCTATCGTACGTTAGCACAGATAACGTTCGTACAGGAAGGAGCTGTTTCCCAGCGTGAAGTAACTTGCGGGAAATCACTCTGCGCCTTTAAGAGAATTTCCTTATTGTCCGGCCAGTGGTGACAGCCAGACCTCATCTGCGTCCGCTCAGCCCTGGGCTGCCCCGGGTGGCAGTGAGGCCTAGGAGGCCGGCAGCCCTCTCGGACGTCGTTTGTCCCTCTCGGACTGTGCCCACTGGGGCGGGACGACGCCTGAGGGCCTGAGAGCACAGCGTGACGGGCGTCTTTCCCTGGGGAAGGCCGCTGCCTGACCGGCGACTCCACACGGACCCTTCGGGAACCCCGAGTCGCCGAGCTGTGCCGATGCCCCAGACGTCGGTGCGCGCCCCTCAGTGTCACATGGCTCTGTTAGCGGTGGAGGCCGTCGGGCTCACGGAGTGAACACGAGTTCTCGAAAATCCTCGTCTGTGCCTGACAGCTTGACCTCCATCGTCGGCGACAACCACCGGCTGATGCCCCTGGCCAGGCCAGTCGTCCATCTGGAGGAAACGCCCGTCCGTGCCTGAGTCTGAGCCGCGGTCGGTCTGTCCGTCCAGCAGAGACCGTGTCCCGTGGAGACTCGGGGCTTCACCGCCAGGCGTGGCCACGGCGCGGTCTGCGGCGGGCGCCCTCCGTGCCGCCCTCGGGTCCCACCGAGCCCCGGGGACCCCGCCCCCGCGGCCGGGGTGTCAGCGTCACTCATCACGCTGGCTGCCCAGGGGGCAGGGAGGCCGCCACCCGCCCGGTCCCTGCGCCCCGTGGACGTGGCCCGCACAGGTGCTCGGGGCCCAGAACACCGGCTGTGGGGACAGAGGGCGTTGGCGTCTGCCCCGGGCCCCCGTTGCCACCGTCCTTGGCCAGTCCTTCTCCCGTGGTTTTAGTTTTGTGTCTTTTTTCTGGGACTTTCGGTTCCAGCTGGTGACTTTGAAAACAAGGACTGGAGGCTGCCGCGTGCGCGACCCCGGGCGGCTCCGGTGACAGCAGGGTGTGCACGCGCCCGCTCCGCACCCCATTACTCACCAGGGCGCCCCCGCCGCGCTGTGCAGGGTGTGCACCCGCCCGCACCGCGCCCCGTGACTCACCAGGGCGCCCGCACCACACCGTGCATGTCACTGAGCAGGGCTGTGATTCGGGGACAGGTGCCACCTTGCCAGGAGAGGACAGGGCTGTGTCCCTTCTCTGTCCGCACCCTTCAGCAGCTGTGGACCCGTGCCTGGTGGCCGGTCCAGGGAGGCCTGCACCCCACCACCCTGCGCGTCCCTCGGGGACGACCCCCCCCGCCCGCTCAGCTGGCCGGGCCAGCACAGTGGCCCCCGTGACACCACCTGCCTTCCCAGCCCCTCGGCCACAGCAAAGGGGCCGCTGCCCACATCCTGAGGTAGCTGGGGGACGGGCCGGAGGTGGCCTGGAGGACAGGGGCGCGATTGTTAGTGTTATCACACAGCCCTTCAACCGCGGGCACCGTGGGGCAGCCTGGCCGTCGTCCCCGCCCTGCTTTCAGATAAGCGTGCACAGCAAGCGCCACGTCCACTGCGTCGGCCCCCAGGGAGCCCGCCCCAGTTGCGCCTGCTGCGGGCAGAGCCATGCGCTCCGAAGGACAGGCCCCCCCAGGCTCCCGGCCCGGTCCCAGGTGGGGTGGGGGGTCGCCGAGCTGTGGGGGGTGCGGTCACCGCCAGACTTTCTGCTTCTCATCACTGGAGCCGTTGGCCCAGCAGTGACAGTGACGAGTGCTCAGGCCCCGGCCTGTGGCACAGCGGAGACTCACCCAGCACTCACAGCTCCACGGAGGGACTTAGAAGTGGCTTCTGTGTGCCATGCAGGCCAGGACCCGCGGGGTGGCACCGAGCCTCCGCCCTGGGGGATGGGAGTGTCACGGCCACCTCGGGGGCCCAGACCTGGGTTCTCTGGGAGGAGACGAAGTCCGGGTGCAGCCGGTGGAGGTGCTCTCAGACGCGGGGTCAGCCCTGCCCCCCACCGAGCCGGGCCATCCCCAACTCCCGTGGGGCCACACGTGGCCGCCCACCTGCCCCGCGTCTGAAGCCCCTCGAAGCACAGTGGGGCCGGGGAGCCGCCTCACACCGCCACGCGCAGCGAGGGTCTCTGGGGCCGGCAGGAAGCGCCTGAGTCACGGGGCCGCCGGACAGCGCTGGCCCGCGGCGGGGAGGCCAGTGTGGGGGGGCGGGCGTCCGGGTCACGTCACCTTTGGCCTCTTCGTAGCAAAAACCCGCCCACTCCTGCACAACCTGCAAAGACCAGCTGGCGTCGGCTCAGAGCCCGCAGGACCTTCTGACCCGACCTTTGCCCCCGGCCAGGGGGTGTTGTCCCAGAGTGACCCCGCACGTTGTCCTTTGTCGACGGGAAAACCCGTGGGTCCCACCGCGGGAGCCCGCCAGGCGGACTTGGTCCCAGCGGGCGCGGCCTTTGCTTCACAGACACGGCCACGGGAAGCTGAGAAGCCTGTGGGCGCCGGGTTCTCGCCTCTCACGCGGCTGGTGTCCGTGGGGACGACGTGGGTGCTGACCGTCACCTTGTTTGCTGCTTTGGGTTTTCCTTCAAGCAAAGCAGAAATTCCTTGTGTGGCATTGGGGTCACCACCAGGGGCCCTCCGGCGGGCGGGAGGAGCGGGGGGCCCTCTGGTGAGCCAGAACTGCTGCGTCTGGCGGAAGTGCCAGGGGTGAGTCCTGACCACACGTCTGGCGGGTCAGGCACAGGGTGACACAGGTTTCGGGGCCACAGAGCAGGGAGATGGGAGGTGCCGGGCGCCTGACAGAACAGCCCAGGGAGCCGGTCGCAGCCTCCTGGCCGAGGCAGGAAGCGGCAGAGAGGGAGGCGCTGTCTGCCACGTGTCGGGGTTGCCCGCAGAGGCACATGAGGCCTTCACGGAGAGAAACGACTGTCGAAGGCTGTGCAGGGTCCCCCCAGACTCAGCATGCGGTGGGGACCTTCTGAGGTCCCCTGAGGCTCTCTCCAGGGCCCGGCGTCCCCAGGCAGCTTCACTTGCCGAGGCCTCCATGCAGCCCCCACCGACACGGCCCCGGGAGTGGCTCGCGGTGTTGGGTGCAGGCTGAGCCCACCGGCCCGTGCAGAGCCTGGAGCCAGGACCCCGAAACAGGCGGGAGCTGTGGGCAGGGGGGACGTGAGGGGCCGGGAACGGCGACCACAGAGTGCTGTGGGTGGTTTTCACCGTACTTCAGATTGTGTCCCAAACCAAAACCAGAGTTCGCTAGATGATCCCGTTTCTTTAAAGGAATTGTGAGTTTGACTTTATGTTCTGGAAACTTCTGTACGTGTAGCCTCTCCTTGGGTGGCCCTGGCCATCCCCGGGGCACAGCCCTCCTGGCGGGGGGCAGGGGAGGGGCTGGAGCGAGCAGCGCTGACCACCTGTGTCCTGTCCCCTCAGCTACCCGTACAGCGAAGACGCCAGTCAGGGCCAGCAGTACATGAACACGCGGTGCCCGGCATGGTGTGACCGCGTCCTCATGTCCCTGTCCGCCAAGGAGCTGGTTCTGAGGGTAAGTGATAGGCCGCCCAGGACCGGCCATGCCGAGGGACGCAGCACGCCAGGCACGGGAGGCGAAGCCCCCGGGGGACCCATCTCTCCGTTGACCCCAAGGGCGCACCCACCTCGCCCTGTGACGGAGCCCGCGCCGTGTCTGGTCCAGGGCTCAGGCTGAGGGGGCTGCGGGTGGAGCCAGGCGTCGGGGACCCTGTGAGCACCCGATGTCGGAGCACCGTGTGCAGATGGCCACCAGGTTCACAGACCGCAGGCCGGCCACGCCCTGGGGAGCCAGCCCCACGCAGATGCGTGCGGTCACTCAGGCCGCAGCCGGCCAGGCCCACCCCCGGGCCGCTGAGAGCGAGTGGGTGACATTCAGGAGGGAGCTGCCTGGGGTGTGGGGGACCCTCAGCTTTCCTGGAGCCTCTCGATTTTCCTGGGACTTTCAATTCCCACCTTTTAACACAAAAGGAGTGTTTTCAAAAGAACATCTGAATTGGTTTTGTCAAACCAATCAATATAATGTTGAAAAAATACAATAACGAAGTGCATCGATTCATCGGGGCAGCGGCCTGATGCTTGGCGCTTGGAGCAGATGGTCCTCTGGGTGTCACGTGGCAGCGGTGGCAAGAGGTGACCCCGCCTAGGCCACCCCCGGGCTCAGCTCAGCAGCTCTAGGTCCAGTCGCTCCCCGAAGGGGGTCCCGTCTGTGCTCCTAGGCCAGACCCTGGGCCCCTACCCACTGGGGCTCGAGGGGTCCCCGGCAGGGGGCAGAGCTGCCACTGCTGCCCTGTGGACACACCGTGCCCTGCCCCCCACACACCCTACCCCACTCAGCAGGCCCCTGGAGCCGCTGGCCTTTTTCGTGGGGTTCTGGCCCTTGCTGCTCATCCCTGAGCCCTGGGGAAGAGGCCTGCCCGGCCTGGAATGGAGGGGCCCCAAGCAGGGCCTCTGGGTCTGCAGGAGGCTCCCCTGCCGGGTGGGCAGCTGGGAGCTTGGACGGTCCTCCCCGGCCTGCGGGCAGGGCCTGCTCCCGCCCACGCCTGCCGGCTCCGAGCCCGTGAGGCAAGCTGAGCACAGGTTGCCGGCAGAACGGGCACCTCTCGGGGCCTCGGGGTCCAGGGCAGAGACAGGCATCACCTACCAGGAAAACGTCCAAGCCCCCAAAACGTGCGTTTTACAATAAATGTTCCAAGACGACCTGACTGCTTCGGACGGGGAGAGGGTGGCCGAGCCCGCACCACGCTGCACCGCCCGGGGCTCAGGCGCGAGGCAGCCTCCCAGGCTGTCCGGTGTGGGGACCGAGGCTTGGTGCCGCAGACCTGGCGGGGGCGGGGGCGGAGCCGGGCCCTGCGTCCCTCCCCTGTGGGACGCAGGCAGCAGCGCGGGCAGCCGCCCGGCCTCATCCATCATGCCACGCTCCGTTTCCTGGCCGTCACGTTCCGTCTGCTTCCTCGCCCGGAAACGCCAAAGGCGGCGGGCGCGGTGCTGCCGGCGGGCACAGTGACGCCGGTGACGGTGACGGGCGCTCAGCGAGCTGTGCACGCCCGCGGCTGCTGGCTTATCCATCTCGAGATCACGCAGTTGGAAACCCGCAATTTTATGCTGCCTCCGTGAATTACCACGCGCATTTGATGGATGTGCCCACTTCCGCAGCCGCGGCGTCGCGGTGTGAGGGTGGGCGGTGCTCATGCACGGGGCAGGCGACCACACTGGACAGCACATCTGACCTCAGGCTTCCTACTGCATCACAGATAATTCAGCTTCGACTTCACAGCCTCAGACGTTCTGGCCCGGCTGCGCTGACTGACTGCCGGGAGCGGACCCGTCACCATCGCACAGGAACGAGGGCGGCCGCCCGGCCCGCACTCTGTGCGCTGGTGTGGGTGGGGTGCGGGGTTCAGTGGCGTCTGTTCTCACTGAGCTCTGGGCAATGGGACTCTGGGGCCTGGCCTGGGGCCTGGGCAAGCAGCTGGTACGGGCCGAGCTGGGGTGCCTGCCAGAGGAGAGCTTGAGGGGCCAGCACCCCGACTCCCTCAACACCAGCCTTGCAGAGGCTGGAGCCCTGGTGGCTGGAAGAGCCAGGGGCCAAGGCGCCCAGGTGCTGGCCGGACTACTGGGACCCTCTGTCGGCCCTACACACCCTCTAGGGGCCAGTGGCATGGGAGGTGGGCAGGGTGGCTGGTGGGTGGCTCTCGCAAGAACTGTCCCCTCTCCCTGAAGAAACCCCACCGTCCCTGCCTCTCACACCATTCCCTCCATTTGCTTTTCCCAGTCGGAGAGCGAGGAGAAGGTTGTCACCTACGACCACATCGGGCCCAACGTCTGCATGGGAGACCACAAGGTGACGTAGCCCGGCTGGGCCTGGGGGCGGCGGGGCGGGCCGGCCTCGCGGAAGAGGGCGAGCTGTCTGTGTTTATCTAATTCTAACAACACGTGGGGCGGTACACGGGTAGGAAGTGAGGCGGAAGTACTAGTCACCATGGAACGAAACGTGCGCTTTACTGTTTGTACGATGACAACCCGTCTACAGCTGATGATCTCTGTAGCCCGCTTCTCGAGTGTGCGTGTGACGTGTCTGTGTCCTCACACCCGGCGGTCTAGGTGGTGGCGGGTGGTCAGGGGCCTAACCCATAGGCGCGACGGCCCCACCGTCCTCGCCAGCAGGACAGATGGTGTTCCCTGGGCCAAGTTAAAGACGTCCACGCTTTCCCACCGTTGAGTCCGATGGGCCAGCACACTGGGCATGTTGTCCTAGGACACAGGTCCCCGCTGGTGACACGGGGAGCAGACCAGGCCGGGCCCCGTGCCTGCCCCCATTGTTGGGGCACACTCGGCCGTCAGTGAAGCCGGCTGCACGTTTGTTTTGAGGTGGTTAATTCCTCTTCACAAAACGCAGAGGTGCTTTGCCTCTGGCCGCCCAGCCTGGCTCGCTCCACACTCAGCAGGTTCAGTGGCTACGGGGAACGCGCCCCTGTCCCTCGCTGGCCACCGGCTCCCCGCGAGCCTCAGACGGCCCCGTGGGAGCGAGGCGGGTGTCGCCGGCATGCCGCCCGGGCTCTGACGCGCCTCTTCTCCCGCTGCAGCCCGTGTTCCTGGCCTTCCGCGTGGCGCCCGGGGCAGGTAAAGCTCACGCACATGTGCACAAGTGTTGTGTCGTGCAGTGACGTGGTGGTAAATATGACTCCTTCCCTTGAGTTCACCTTTTCTGAGCTTTCCCGGTGTGTGTGTCCCTTTAACAAACCGCTGATCCCACGGCAGGGAGATGCCAGCGACAGGAGAGGACCCCGCGGGAGCCCTGCCTGTAGCCCCGGCGCAGAAGGTCGCAGCCCACCCCGTCCACGCGCAGCAGCCGCAGCAGCCCCGCCGCCGGCCGGGGCCCCACACCGCGCTG